TCATTTTTATATTAAAAACTATCACAATCTAATACAAACAAATAAATCTGTTTTTACTAAAGCCAAAGTTCCAAATTTGAGAGATTAGTGCAGTTTCCTAATCCGAAACCTAAGCCTGATGCACCTTCATCACTAATAGGATTCCTCCTTTTTAAATATTGAAGAAAAATATTATGTTAATAAGTTAATTAAAAGGAAAAAGTGAAATTTATTAATTAATTAACAATAAAAGAAAAAGTTGAAGTGGAATGAAAAAATGAGTTAAATTAACATAAAAAAAGAAAGAAAAATAATCAAATAAAAAGTTAATAAATGAATGAATTAAAAGTATAAGTAAAATTGTTTTAATTTCAATTTTAAATATAAAAAATATCACTAACCAAAATAAATAAACTGTTTTTACCAAAGATTAAGTAGCAATTTTGAGAGATTAGTACAGCTTCCTAAACCAAAACCTAAGCCTGATACATCACTAATTTAATTGTCGCTTTTTAAAAAATATATTGTTAATTTTTTATATAAAGGAAAAAATAAGGGAAAAACTTTAAATAATAAGAAATGAATTTATAATAAAAGCAAAGTTGAAAATAAAAAATGAGTTAAATTAAGAAAAATAGAACAAGAAAAAATACAATTAAATTAAAAAAGATATTTAAATCAAATAAAAATTTATAAATAAGTTAAAATAGTTAGTTGTTTTGTTTTAAATTCATTTTATATTAAAAAATATTACAATCCAAAACAAATAAATAAATAAATAAATAAATAAATTGTTTTTACTCAAGATTAAGTTTTAAATTAGAGAGATTAGTGCACTTTCCTAAACCAGAACCTATGCCTGATGCACCTTCAACCCCAATTTAATTTTCTCTTTTTAAATATTGAAGAAAAAATATTATGCTAATAATTAGTTAGTAAAAGGAAAAAATGAAGAAAAAAAATAAAATGATAAAATAAAAAATTAATAATAAAATTTTAAAAATTAGTAAAATTGTTTTAAATTCAATTTTATATTAAAAAAAATAACATCCAAAATAAATAAACTGTTTTTACTGAAGATCAAGTGTTAATTCATAAAGATTAGCGCAATTTGCTAAACCATAGCTTAAGCCTTAAGCACCTTCATCACTAATTTAATTCGACCTTTTTCATATTGAAGAAATAATTTTTAATTAATTATTTAGTTAGAAGGAAAAAATTAAGAAAAAATATAATATAATAAGAAATGAATAAATAATTAATTAACAATAAAAGGAAAAGTCAAAAATAAAAAAATGAGTTCAATTAACAAAGAAAGAAAGAAAAGAAAAAAAAAACACAAGTAAAAAAATAAAATAAACAATTCAATTAAAAAGCTAATAAATAAACTCAAAGAGTTAATTATTTCTCTTTAAATTCATTTTAATATCAAAAAATATCACAATTCAAATCAAATCAATTGTTTTTACTAAAGATGTAGTGTTAAATTTGAGAGTTTAGTGCAATTTGCTAAACCAGAGCCTAAGCCTGAAGCACCTTCATCACTAATTTAATTCGACCTTTTTAATATTGAAGAAATAATATTTAATTAATTAGTTAGTTAGTTAGTTAGTTAGTTAGTTAGTTAGTTAGAAGGAAAAAATGAAGAAAAAATATAAAATAATAAGAAATGGATAAATAATTAATTAATAATAAAAGGAAAAGTAGAAAATAAAAAAATAAATAAGTTGAATTAACAAAGAAAGAAAGAAAGAAAGAAAGAAAGAAATAAAGAAAAGAAAAAAAAACACATTTAAAATAAAAAAAATAAATAATTCAATTAAAAAGCTAATAAATAAAGTCAAAGAGTTAGTATTTCTCTTTAAATTCATTTTAATATTAAAAAATATCACAATTAAAAATAAATAAACTGTTTTTACCCTAGATATAGTTTTAAATTTGAGAGATTAGTGCAATTTGCTAAACCAGAGCCTAAGCCTGAAGCACCTTGAACACTAATTTAATTCCACCTTTTTTAATATTGAAGAAAAAATATTATGTTCACTAGTTAGTTAAAAAGAATAATGAAGAATTAATATGAAATAACAAGAAATGAATTAAAAAATAATAAAAGCATAAGTTTAAAATGAAAAGATTGGTTAAATTTGCAAACAAACAAACAAAGATAGATAGATAGATAGAAAAGGAGAAAAAAACATAATCACATTAATAATAAATAAAAAAAGAAAAATAAATAAAATAAAAACTATTAAATTATTTTGAGTTAGTTATTTTGCTTTAAATATATTTTTATATTAAAAAATATAACAATCCATCCAAACAAATAAACTGTTTTTACCAAAGATTAAGTTCCAAATTTGAGAGATTAGTGCAATTTGCTAAACCAAAGCTTAAGCCTGAAACACCTTTATCACCAATTTAATTCCCTCTTTTTTAATATTGAAGGAATAGTATCATGTTAATTAGTTAGTTAAAAGGAAAAATGAAGAAAAAAATATGAAATAATAAGAAATGAATTAATAAATATTAAAGCAAAAATTTAAAATGAAAAAATAGGTTAAATTAGCAAGCAAATAAAATAGATAAAAAGAAGAAGAAGAAAAAAACACAAGTAGAATAATAAAAAAACTAAGAAAAGTAAATCAAACAAAAAACTAATAAATAAATTATTTTGAGTTAGTTATTTTGCTTTAAATTCATTTTTACATTAAAAAAAATATCACAATCCAAAACAAATAAACTATTTTTACTCTAGCTGAAGTTTCAAATCTTAGATATTAGGGCAATTTCCTAAGCTAGAACCTAAGCCTGATGCACCTTGGTCACCAATTTAATTGTAACTTTTAAATATTGAAGAAAAAACAAAAAATTAATTAGTTAGATAAAAGGAAAAAATAAATAAAAAATATGGAATGATAAAAAATGAATTAATTAACTACTAATTTAGGTAAAAATTAAAAATAAAAATATAAGTTAAATTAATAAATAATGAATGAATGAAAGAAAGAAAGAAAGATATATAAGAAAAAAAACATAGGCAAAATAAAAAAAATAAATGAATCAAGCAAATAAATAAATAAATAAATTAAATGAATTAACAAGATTGTTTTAAATTTATTTTAACACAAATAAACTTTTTTTACTGAATATTAAGTTCCAAATTTGAGAGATTAATGCAGTTTATTAAACTAGAACATAAGCCTGATATACCAATTTCACCAATTTAATTATAACTTTTTAAGTATTGAGAAAAAAAAATTCGTTAATTAAAGGTAAAAATGAAGAAAAAATATAAATTAATTAATAAATAAATAATAAAATCAAGTGATTAAAATGAAAAAATTTTTAAATTAACCAAGAAAGCAGGAAAATTAATTAGGAAATGAGTTATTTATTTTGATTAAATTTCATATTAATATTAAAAAATCACAACCAATCCAAAATAAATAAACTATTTTTACTTAAGCTCAAGTTTCAAATTTGAGAGTTTAGTGCATTTCCCTAAACCAAAACCTAAACCTGATGCACCATCACCAATATTATTGAACCTTTTTAAATTTAGAAGAAAAAAAATATATAAAATAAGAAATGAATTAATTAATCTTAAAAGATAGAGTTGAAAATAATAAATGAGTTAAATTAAAAAAAATTAAAAACACAGGTAAAATAAATAAATTGATCGAAACAAGCAAATAAATAAATAAATAAATTAAAAGAATTAATTATTTTGTTTTAAATTCCTTTTTATATTAAAAAATATCATAATCCAAAATAAATAATATATTTTTACTAGAGACAAAGTGTCAGATTTGAGAGATTAGTGCAATTTGCTAAAGAAGAACCTAAGTCTGTTGCACCTGTTGCATCAATTTAATTCTAACTTTTTAAATATTGAAGAAAAAATAATAAATAAAAAATTAGTTAGATGTAAAAAATGAAAAAAAAAATGAAATAATAAGATAGATAGATTAATAATAATAAAAGTAAAATTTGAAAATGAAAAAATAAGTTAAATTAACAAACAAATAAATAAATAAAAAAAATAGAAACACAATTAAAAAAAGGAAAATAAATCAAATAAAAAGTAATAAATAAATAAACTCAAAGAGTTAGTTATTTCTCTTTAAATTCATTTTTATATTAAAGTATATCTTAATTCAAAGCAAATCAGCTGTTTTTACTAAAGTATAAGCGTCAAATTTGAGAGATTGATGCAATTAGCTAAAGCAGAACATAAGCCTGTTACTTCTATTGCACTAATTTTATTACTTTTTAAATATTGATGAAAAAATAAGAAATAATTAGAAATGAATTAATTAATAAATAATAAAAGCAAATTAAAAATGAAAAATATAATTTAATTAACAAGAAAGTATATATAACCACTATCAGAAAAAAATATAAAATCTAATTAATTTATAATTTTTAAATTTAGAAGAAAAAATTAATATTAATCTTATTAATTAGAAGGAAAAAATAAATGGTGAAAAAGTATCAAATATATAAAAAAAATTAATAATAATTATATAAATATTTCAAATATACTTCAGATCAATATAGAGAACCTAATGCGATTAAAGTGAAGAGTTTAAAAACTTTTTTTATTAATAAAAATAAATTTAAACAATATTAATAAAAAAATCAATATTTACTTCTTCCAATTCTTTAAAATATTTTTTCTAATTACTCATTTATTTATTTTATTTTTTCACAAATATTTAATCGAAATTTAATTAATTATAAGCTTTTTAATAAATTCATTCATCCTTATATCAAATTAATTAATTTTGGTAAAAAGAACAAATAAATTAATTCATCCTTATTTCAAATTAATTTTAGTAAAAAGAATAAATAAATTAATCAAATACAAAATTATAAATTTGCTTTAGAAATAAATATCACAAAATTATTATTTAATCTTAATATTTCTATTTAAAGCATATGTTTAAAAATATAGCAATAATCAAAAGATTGGTATTCATAAATATTGCTATTTGCACCAAATTTTTTCTGTAGCTGATGAACTACATGTTTTTTTTAATTAAAAAATAAATAAATTAAATTATTTTTAAATTTTGAATTATTTTATATTTATTTATTTATTAACTTTTAAATTTAAAATAATTAATTTTAATTTTAATTTTATTTTATATAAATTAATAAATAAAATATAAATTTATTGATAATTAATTTTATGTTGTTTTTCTTTTTCTTATTTTATTTAATTAAATATTATTTAATTTATATATTAATAAATTGTTAAATCTATCATTATATTAATAATTTATTTTTAAATTCATAGTTTGTTTATTCTATTATTATTCGTGTATGTATCCTTGAAAAAGGCAGCACCCTAAGGTACTATATATATATATATATAAATAATATTATTCAAACATTTAATATTTATTCATTCATCCTTTTTTCGCCACTTGTTTATCACCAGAATTCTTTTTTAAAGACAACTAATCTTTTTGATTTAAGACACTTGCTTTTTACTTTGAATGTTTAGGATTTATTCATTTCACTAAAAATTTTATAATAAATTTGCGTAAATTTTAAATAAATACCAAAATAGAATAAATTTTTAAATTAAAAATTATTTCTTAAATTTATAAATATAATAGTATTAGTGGAATAAAAAGATAAAAAAATAAATCAAATAAATACAAAGAGCTTTTTTGTTTTATATTCATTTTTATAGTTTAAAATATCTAAATCCAAAAATTATAAACTGATGCACCTATTACATCAATTAAATTCTAAGTTTTTAAATATTGAAGAAAAGATAAATCAAT